TTCAAAATATTATATATTTCCTGGACTTTCAATAACAATTGCATTCAGGCAAGTGTTGAGTTTGAGCAGCTTGCTTAATTACTAGTTCTTAGTTGAAATGTTCTCTGTTTTGTTACTGTAATCAATATTATTCTTGCTTGGCTGTGGTATGTCATCATAGGCCTCTTTAATTTTCTTGTCTCTCTCTCTCTCTTTTTTTTTCTTCTTTCTCTTTCCTATATAGACTCCAATGATCTTCTCCATTTTGCAAATTGCCCCACTTTCCCAGAGAATGGTATTCTTCTTCCATTGTCATCTAGAATTTTAACCTTCTCTTTACAATTGATGAAAACAATATGTAGCCCCAGTCCATTATCTGGTTATTGAAGTTGGCTCTGCTGAATTTTGGAGAAGGAAATGGCAACCCACTCCAGGATTCTTGCCTAGAGAATCCTGTGGACAGAGGAGCCTGGTGGGCTGCTGTCCAGAGGGTCGCACAGAGTCGGAGACGACTGAAGCGACTGGATTTAGATTTGCTTTCCTACTCATGGACTTCCCTTATGGCTCAGCTGGTAAAGAATCCACCTGCAATGCAGGAGACCCGGGTTCGATCCCTGGGCTGGGAAGATCTGGAGAAGGGAAAGGCTCCGCACTCCAGTATTCTGGCCTGGAGAATTCCATGGACTGTATAGTCATGGCGTCGCAAAGAGATGGAAATGACTGTGAGACTTTCCCTTCACTTCCTACTCATTGTTAATTCAAAACTTGTAATAGTTTCCGTTTTACTGATTATGCCTAGAGTGTGAATGATATTATATATTCTCCATGTTGTTCTGGGTGGTTTTACTGAAAAATATATGACAAGATTCAGATTTAAGAAACTGCTATTCTGCTATTATGTGAACTCTGTTATCTTTCTTTTTCTCTAACAATAGAAGCTCTTTTGAATATAAAAAAAACTATTATATTAAAAATAATAATGATATGTTCTGAATTTTTCAGTGATTATAAAGACATGCTTTAAACATAGACTTCAAGGAACTATTTTGTAGGGGAGAAAAGATGACACTTCAAGTCAGATGAGTTAATCTTGACTGGTTTTCACATTTCACACATAAAACATTAATAAAGCATGTCAATCCATTTCAATCACTTGTTTAATTATTATTCTCTTTGAAGTGTCCTGACAGAATTGAAAAAAAAAAAAAAAGAAAGTAGTAATATTGCAAATAAAAGCTGTATGGTAGCTTCACAGGTTTATATTTTAGCTCATTGCATCATCAAATACCGTTTAAATGAAATGATCTTGTAGAATTTTTACCTTTGTCTCTTTCTAGTCAACATTGTTATTCAAGCTTGCTTATTCTGAGGGACACAAATCCATCAAAAATATCATTAGGGTAAAAAAGTAATCCCCTATTTTATTTAGCAGACCTTTAGTTTTTATACCTGTAATTGTAGTATAGTCAATACCTACCAAAAAATCTTGCAGAATAATTTTATGTTTTTGAGGCTCTTGAGAAGAGGATATCAAAACCTGATTTCCACAATGTAGAATGAACTATATCAATTCAATATCAACATAGAAATCACTACCACAAGGATGTTACAATGTAAGGAATGAATAGAAAGGAGGAAGGAAGTTGCAATTCAATGATCTAACAAAAGGTAGAATGTCATCTTGTAGAAAAGTTACCAAATTTGGGATATGACCAAAGGAAGGCAGTCGTCCAAGGATCTATGTAGAAGGGGATAATAGTATTCATGGCAGAAGAAACAAAAATATTCCATAAATGACATATTTCTGCAAAAATAAATACTATGTCTTTTACCTAGTGTTTGAAAGATAAACATAGATAGACTGAAAACCAGAAAAGTAAGGAGACAGAGAATGGAATCTGTATACCAATCCAGAGAGACAAAATGATGTTAAAAATTATTTAAGATAATAGCATTTCATAATATTAAAATAAAGTATTAGAAAATAGGGAAACACTACAGTTAACTTTTGAACGCTAGTAATGTGCAAAATTCTTCAAGCCAGGATTCAACAGTACGTGAATTGTGAACATCCAGATGTTCAAGCTGGATTTAGAAAAAGCAGAGGAATCTGAGATCAAATTGCCAATATCTGTTAGATCATTGAAAAAGCAAGAGAGTTCCAGAAAAACATATATTTCTGCTTTATTGACTATGCCAAAAGCTTTGACTGTGTGGATCACAAAAAACTGGAAAATTCTTAAAGAGATGGGAATACCAGACCACTTGACCTGTCTCTTGAGAAATATGTATGCAGGTCAGGAAGCAACAGTTAGAACTGGACATGGAACATACTGGTTCCAATCAGGAAAGGAGTACATCAAGACTGTATATTGTCACCCTGCTTATTTAACTTATATGCAGAGTGCATCATGAGAAAATCTGGGCTGGATAAACCCTGGGATTGAATCAAGATTGCCAAGAGAAATATCAATAACCTCAGATATGTAGACGACACCACTATTATGGCAGAAAGTGAAGAGGAACTGAAGAGCCTCCTGATGAAAGTGAAAGAGGAGAGTGAGAAAGTTGGCTTAAAGCTCAACATACAGGAAACTAAGATTATAGCATCTGGTCCCATCACTTCATGGGAAATAGATGGGGAAATGGAAGCAGTGTCAGACCTTATTTTTCTGGGCTCCAAAATCACTGTAGATCATGACTGCAGCCATGAAATTAAAAGATGCTTAGTTGTTGGAAGAAAAGTTATGATAAACCTAGACAGCTTATTAATAAACAGAGACATTACTTTGCCAACAATGGTCCATCTAGTCAAAGCTTTGTTTTTTCCAGGAGTCAGGTATGGATGTGAGAGTAGGATCATAAAGAAAGCTGAGTGCTGAAGAATTGATGCTTTTGACCTGTGGTGTTGGAAGACTCTTGAGAATCCCTTGGACTGGAAGGAGGTCCAACCAGTCCATCCTAAAGGAGATCAGTCCTGAATGTTCATTGGAAGGACTGATGCTGAAGCCGAAACTCCAGTACTTTGGACACCCGATGCAAAAAGCTGACTCATTTGAAGAGACCCTGATGCTGGGAAAGATTGAAGGCATGAGGAGAAGTGGACAACAGAGGATGAGATGGTTGAATGGCATCATCGACTCCATGGACATGGATTTGAGTAAGCTCTGGGAGTTGATAATGGACAGGGAAGCCTGGTTTGCTGCAGTCCATGGGGTCTTGAAGAGTTTGACACAACTGTGCGACTGAACTGAACTGAGCTTGTGATCTGTTCTGGAAAAAGATTCATAAACACTTGAATATGTATTCTGCAGGTTTTGGAAAGAATGTCCTATACATATCTGTTAAGTCCATTCAGCCTAATATGTCACTTAAGGAGACTGTTTTCTTATTGATTCCCTGTCTGATTGATCTATTTATTAATGTAAGTGCAGTCTTAAAATCCCCTATTATTGTATTGCCATTAATTTCTCCATTTACATTTTTAACACATGCTTTACATAATATGTGCTCCTCAAATTAGGTGCACTTATGTTTAAAAATTTTACATATTTTTGGATTAACACCTTTATTATTATATAATGCTCTTTTTGTGCTTTATTATAGGCTGATTTTGTTTAAAAAAGGTTTATCTTTAATTGGAGGATAATTGCTTTACAAAATTGTGTCAGTGTCTGCCATATATCAACACAAATCATCCATTGGTATACATATGTCCCCTTCTTCTTGAACTTCCCTCCCACCACCTACCCCAGCCCACATTAAACACCAGGTTTGAGCCCCTTGAGTCATCCAGCAAATTCACAACGGCTATCTGTTTTACATATGGTGATGTGTGTGTGCAGATGCTACTCTCTCAATGTGCCCCACCCTCTTCCTCCCCCACTGTGTCCACTGTGTCCTCTATGTCCTTGTCTCCTTTGCTGCCCTGCAAATAAGTTCATCAGCATCATCCTTCTAGATTCCATCAAGTCTACTTTCCTACATCAATATTGCTAACCTTGCTTTCTTGTCATTTCCGTTTGAAAGGAATATCTTTCAGTCTGCATTCATGCATTTTTTATCTCTGAGGTAAATCTTCTGTAGACAGCACATCAATTTTTAACCTAATCGCTATCTGATATTTTTGATTGGAACATTTAGTCCATTGATATTTAGAGTGATTATTGATGTTTGTACTTAACATTTTGTTACTCCTTTCTGGTTGTTTGTGTAGTTCTTCTCTGTTCTTTTCTTATTTTAGTCTCTTCACTGTGATTTAACAATTTTCTGTAGTATTATGCTTGTATTCCTTTCTATTATATATGAAAGTGAATGTGAAGCTGAAAGTCACTCAGTTGTGTCCTACTCTCTGTGACCCCATGGACTGCAGCACACCAGGCCTCCCTGTCCATCACCAAATCCCGGAGTCCACCCGAACCCATGTCAATTGAGTTGGTGATGCCATCCAACCATCTCATCCTCTGTCGTCCCCTTCTCCTCCTGTCTTCAAACTTTCCCAGCATTAGGGTCTTTTCCAGTGAATCAGTTCTTCACATCAGGTGGCCAAAGTATTGCAGTTTCAGCTTCAACATCAGACATTCCATAATTTACCTGATAAATAGTTCAAGCAATAGTAATAATAATGTTAGCTCAATTTGAGAAAGAAAAGACAAACATACTGAGAACTTCAGCAAAAAAAAAAAAAAAAAAGTTAGAAAATATGAAAATTAATCAGCCAGAGATGAGGGGTGCAAAAAGATTAGGTGAAAGTGTTACCTATCTAGATCCTGAAGGCATGTCCTTGGGAGGGAGCATCACTGTGCAATCTGTTTGTGTGTGTGACTGAGTCTTCTTTAGGGGTCTGTTCACATGTCAGGCTGAGTTTTCCTTTGGGCTCTGTTCATGTGTGGGGCTGAGCCTTCCTTTGGGGTCTGTTCACATGTCAGGCTGAGTCTTCTTGGGGGTCTGTTCACTTGTTGGGCTGAGTCTTCCTTGGGGATCTGTTCACATGTCGGGCTGAGCCTTCCTTTGGGATCTGTTCACATGTCAGGATGAGCCTTCCTTTGGGGTCTCTTCACATGTCGGGCTGAGTCTTCCTTGGGGATCTGTTCACTTGTCGGGCTGAGTCGTCCTTTGGGGTGCTCTGCTGACCGCTGCAGGTGTGAGGAGGGAGTCTTAGGCTCACTGTCAGTCCCTGCCCTGGCAGTGACTGAGGACTGGGGTCCTGGAGTATGGGCCGTGAGGGGATTTGACTTCCCCCTGGTACAACAGCCGTTTCTGCCTTCGGGGAGGGTGTGGCCAGGGCCCCAGGCTTTGGGACTACAGTTCTGAGCTGGTTCCACGTTTCTTGTGGTGTGTGTGCCTTAGTTAGGAGCTGAGTAAACGCCAAGTGGTAGAACGCGGAGCTGTGTCTGTTGCTTCCTAAGAGTGAAGAAGCACACCTTCTAGCAATGCCAGTCTCTACCCGGCTGGAGGCAGGGTCAGGGCCCACGCCGGCTTAGTTCGCTCCGTGTATGCGCACACCTGTTGGCGACGGTGGCTTCCGCTTTAGTGAAAAGCAGAGCCGGAACCGGAAGGGCTGAAGCAGGAAGCCAGCGCAGACCGAGGGGCATGCTGGGGTGGGCCCTGCAGAGCGTCGGGCCGTTTTCAGTCGGCCCCCTCCTCGCTGGGACTCTACGCGAGCGAATCTGTGCATGCTGTCCCCAAGAGTGGCGGTGCAGTCTCTTCCAGCCCTCTGACAGACCCCACTGGTCTTCTAACCAAGCGAAGGGACTCAGATTTTGGTATTGAGCCCAGTGCTGAGGTGCTTGATCTGTGGCTCGAATCCCTCCTTCTCCAGGGAGGACCATTGAGCCTGTGGATTTCTGCCCCCTTTGACTTGCCCTGCTAGTGCTTTGGGTCCTGACTGCGTTGCTTATTCCTTCTACCAGACCTCTTATGGATCTTTCTTTACCACCTCGTTTGTGTAAGAACTGTTCTGCTGGTCTGCATATGGTTCTCAGCAATGCCTGTTGTATCTGAAGTTGTAATTTGATGGGTCTCTAGGAGGGAGTGAGTTCAGAGTCCTCCTACTCTTCCATGTTGATCCCTCTTCCCATCTCAGTTTATTTTTTGACTGTAACTTTAGCAAAAGCGAGAGACATGGCTTAAAGGCGTGGTGTGTGTGTGGGTGCTAAGCTGCTTCAGCTGAGTCTGGCTGTTTGACCCATGGACTATAGGCCGCCAGACTCCTCTGTCCGTGGGATTCTCCAGGCAAGAATACTGGAGGCAGTTGCCGTGACCTTCTCCAAGGGATCTTCCCATCCCAGGGATAGAACCCCAGTTTCTTACATCTCTTGCCTTGGCATGTGGGTTCTTTACCACTAGCACCACATGGTAGGAGTAGGGAAAGGCAATTGAACAGTGGGTGAATTATGTATATCATTCAGATTGAATTGTGCCAAAACCAAAGCACATGTATAGGATGATATTACACCAACTGTATTTTATATGTTACATAAAATAATTTTATGATAATCACAACTTTATTTATATTAAGGTTTGCCATATTTTTATTATTTATAACCTAATAAAATAATTGGCTAAATCAACAGTAACACAATGAGGATACTCACTTGATTAAGTACCAATGAACAGTGCTATAGAGGAGTCACTTGTTATAATTGCTACCATCTATGTACCTCAAAACAATGAAAAAAAATGAATGAAATAAACAGTATATTTGTAAAGCATATGAATTTATATGTAGGAGAAATCTCTTGAGAAGCATGAGATACATGTCTTTTTAAATTAAAGATTCATTCATTGTAGTGACATTTTCTCTTTTCCAATTCTATTTTAAGCATCTCAAAAAGTATTTTGTCATGCAATTAATTACCAACTGTACCTAATCCCCTGGTCTTACAAAAGTTGTTTTCCTTTTTTCCTCTCACCTTCTATCTGTATTCCCTTGATATGTTAGCTTCTACTAGCCTCCTTAAGTAGGGTGTTTGTTTCCCCCAGAGACTGGAAAGCAATATAAAGGAAATGGAAGATTGATATGAAAGAACACCTGTGCAGTAATGAGATAAAGCAAGTAGTCTGAATGAATAAAATCATGGAACACCTAACCCATTTGCTTCCTGAAATTTGCAGAGAAAAGTAGTATATTAACTGGTTTGGTAAACAGCAATCCTCATAGAGAATATAACTTTATTCTCCTTATTCTTTGAGACATATTTCTAAAAGGGAATTTGGCAGTAGTGTACAATTAAGATTTTATAGGAAAGAAAATCTTTAACTAGCAATCTGTATTCTTTGGTTGTAGTAACATGGGGAAGAAAGCCTAGTGGTGATATTAAAGTATATTACCTGAATTTTTTAACCAGAACACTTGGAGTAGGACCTAACATGTGATTTTATAATTGCCTCTCAGTTACAGTCTCTTAGTGAGGAGTTTTTGTGAAATCAGTAAATAAAACTGTACAGTAATTGTAGTGGCACATATTCCTAGAAACAGATATCTACAAGGTTTTAGATTCAGTAGAACTTGTTTTAAGTGATTTATATGTGTAATTGACTTTAAGCCCTTTGGAATGAATCATAACAGAGTAGATACTTTTCCTTTAGACTACTAGGTTAGAGTGTCTTTATGAAATTAATTATATTTTCATAGGTAAGTGACATGTGATTTGATGAATTATCACATCTGAAAAATCCACAAGGAGGGCATCTGTGTACAGATCACTGCTTCTCTTAACCCAGTTGTCAGGTAAGTAGTCTCCTTTTATGCATTCCACTTGTTATAGAAACAAAAGATGAATGAGGTTTAATAGTTCAAATGCAGTTCTCTATGGAGAAAAAGAAAGGATCATATCTATCAGGCTTATTTTCAGTCAAGGGATCTGACATTTCTTAAAATGCAAAAATGTGTCTATGTGGTATCATAGGGTCTGCTGACATAGCAATCTATCAAGTAATTTGTGTGTATCAAATAGGAAAGGGATTATCACTGCTTTTATGTGTGAATTATTTTTTAAACATTATTTGTCTATTTGGATGTTGCTATCTAGTGTAATCATCTGATGCAATTTATCTGAGAATATGCTCCCCAAATATTTAATAATACATGAACTGGATTTTGCTTACTCTATGCTCAAAATATTAATTAATCTATGGCCCATTAAAGTTAGATAAGATGTAAGAACTTTCCTCAGCACCACAGTCTACACAGACACAAATTACCAATAAGCTTTAGCATTCAATATGAACCATACTTTTTCTGTTGTAATGTTAAAGAACCTATAAAAAAGATTTTCAAACCCCAGTCTCCCATATTGCACATAGATTCTATACTGTCTTAGCCAACAGGGAAGCTCAAAAAATTTCAAGTTATGGTAAATCAAACCATTCTAGACTTGCTAAACATCTTACTCCTGGATGAAAAAATTATTATTATTATCACCCATTCTTCCCCAAGACGTTATAAAAATAGCAGTTGTTTAGTTGCTGTCATGTCCAGATTTTTCAGCCCTGTGGACTGAAGCATGGCAGGCTTCTCTGTCGTTCACTGTTTCCCAGAGATTACTCAAACTCATGTCCACTGAGTCGGTGATGCCATCCAACCACCTCATCCTCTGTTGCCCCCCTCTCCTCCTACCTTCAATCTTTTCCAGCATCAGGGTCTTTCCAGTGAGTCAGCTTTTTGTATCACATGGTCCAAGTACTGGAGCTTCAGCATCAGTTCTTTCAATGAATATTCAGAGCTGACTTCCTGATATCCTTGCAGTCCAAGAAACTCTGAAGAGTCTTCTCCAGCACCACAATTTGAAAGCATCAAATCTTTAGTGCTCAGCCTTCTTTATGGTCCAGCTCTCAGATCTATATATGACTACTGGAATAAGCATAGCTTTGACTACATGGACTTCTGTCAGTGAAGTAATTGCTGTCTAACACACTGTCTACATTTGTCATGACTTTCCTTCCAAGGAGCAAGCATCTTTTAATGTTATGGCTGTAGTCATTGTCTGCAGTGACTTTGAAGCCCAGGAAAATAAAATCCACCAGTTTCTCCCCTTCTATTTGCCATGTAGAGGTGGGACTGGATGCTATAATCTTAGTTTTTTGGTTTTTTTTTAATGTTGAGTTTCAAGCCAGCATTTTCACTCTTCTTTTTTCCACCTTCATCAAGAAATTATTTAGTTTCTCTTCACTTTTTGCCCTTAGAATGGTATCATCTGTGTATCTGAGGTTATTGATATTTCTCCCAGCAATCTTGAGAATAGCTATTTTTATTCTATTCAATTATGGATTACACATGAAAGTTTCCTCATGTTTGAAATCTTAAGAAGTATATAATAAAAATATCAAATATCTGTAATTACACTAAAATCTGAATTTATTAAACCAGTTCCTGTTTATCAATTAAGTATAATTTTCCAGCACTTTGCTTTTATCCTTACCAGACATACATAACCTAGACAGAGTACCCTTTTGTCCTTAGGGTACAAAAGCTGAATTAAACTTCTTAGCTTATTTAAATCAGGTGCAAAAGCTAATCAGAACTGGGGTCATTAAAATATTCAAAGAGGTAGGATGCAAATGTAAAATTAATTTTATGAGAAAAATAATAAATTATATCAGGCATCATGCATAACATAAGAACAAAACGTTACAAAATATACTGCATCAAGGAATTTGAAAATAAAAGTTCCATGGAATTGAAATAGCAGGCAACAACATAAAAGAAATGGTAACTACAAAAAAGACACAAATTAAATCTGTAATTAAGTGTGCTTATCTATGCTATTTTCTCACTTATATAAAGGCAGATTCGATTTGATTTTCACATTAAAAAAGACAAATGACCTTAAAACTGACCCCTTCATAAAAATGCAGCAAACTTGTTAGCCAATTTAATGATCTGTATGTGAAGTCAAAATGTTATAATCTCCCATTAGATGTCACCTATTGATTTCTTGTGCTCATAATGACAATAAATGAGTAGATAGAGGTTAAAAGACAAAAGTTATGATTTAAAGAAACTGAACACTTCAGAAGCATAATCAGTATAAGACCCTGATTAATAAAAATGATACTGAGCTAGTCAATTAATGTTGACATTTATTTTCCATCATAAAATGAAAAGGATGAAAAGGTTGATCCTATTCATTGCATGCTACTAATCAGGCCTAAGGAAATCTCATACTTTCCTATTTCTAACATCTTTGCTTCATATATTCCACTTCCAATTTAATGAGTTCAGTTATTAGATTCTATGCAAAGGCAGCAATGAAAACTCAGTTAGGTAACCTTTTCATATGTACTGTTTTGAAATTTTGGACATATATTCAAAATCATTTTCTTTAAAAAAGAAGGCTGTAAGTTTGTATGTTTTGCAAGCAAATGATGGAATTTTCTAATATCCTCAGTTTCCTCAAATAACACATTCAAGTTTCTAGTACTATCCTCTAGATAAAAAGTTGTCTCAATTTGTTTTACAGAAAAATAGAATCTAATTATAGGGTTAGAAAGTACTTCTAGAAATTCAAAAAGCTGAATATTCTTATTTTAGTAGATAATGCATACGTTCTTGATCAAATCTCACTTAGAAAAGTAATAACAATTAGAAGAACTGTCCAAACATGTGAAATCTGGGAACACATGTGTTGATATTAATTTTAGTGAGGAAACATACACCATTTCAGTGAATAAACC